ACCCCTAAAACCCCTAAAAGGCCACTTCAATGGCTTCTTATGGGCTTCCAGCGCAGGCAAAAGCCCACATCCATGGCTTTTTATGGGCGTCCAAGCTTGCCGTTTGCCAGGCCTAGAACCCTCCAAACCCCTAAAAAGCCACTTCAATGGCTTCTTATGGGCTTCCAGCGCAGGCAAAAGCCCACATCCATGGCTTTTTATGGGCGTCCAAGCTTGCCGTTTGCCAGGCCTAGAACCCTCCAAACCCCCCCTAAAAGGCCACTTCAATGGCTTCTTATGGGCTTCCAGCGCAGGCAAAAGCCCACATCCATGGCTTTTTATGGGCGTCCAAGCTTGCCGTTTGCCAGGCCTAAAACGCTCCAAACCCTCCAAACCCCTAAAACCCCTAAAAGGCCACTTCAATGGCTTCTTATAGGCTTCCAGCGCCCACATCCATGGCTTTTTATGGGCGTCCAAGCTTGCCGTTTGCCAGGCCTAAAACGCTCCAAACCCTCCAAACCCCTAAAACCCCTAAAAGGCCACTTCAATGGCTTCTTATGGGCTTCCAGCGCCCACATCCATGGCTTTTTATGGGCGTCCAAGCTTGCCGTTTGCCAGGCCTAAAACGCTCCAAACCCTCCAAACCCCTAAAACCCCTAAAAGGCCACTTCAATGGCTTCTTATGGGCTTCCAGCGTCCATGGCTTTTTATGGGCGTCCAAGCTTGCCGTTTGCCAGGCCTAGAACCCTCCAAACCCGTAAAACCCCTAAAAGGCCACTTCAATGGCTTCTTATGGGCTTCCAGCGCCCACATCCATGGCTTTTTATGGGCGTCCAAGATTGCCGTTTGCCAGGCCTAAAACGCTCCAAACCCTCGAAACCCCTAAAACCACTAAAAGGCCACTTCAATGGCTTCTTATGGGCTTCCAGCGCAGGCAAAAGCCCACATCCATGGCTTTTTATGGGCGTCCAAGCTTGCCGTTTGCGAGGGCTAAAACCCTCCAAACCCCTAAAACCCTAAACTTTAAAACCCCTAAAAGGCCACTTCGGCGGTCCAGCGTGCCATTGGCCAGGCATTCGCAACCAACAGGCATCAGGCATCAGGCGTTCAAGCCTGCCGTTTACTACTTTTTTCCTTCACAACGCCATCCTTGACAGAAAACTTGTTCCCACACACCGTTCGATGGTCAATTTGCCCTGTCTTCACGTCACTGGCCACATTCCCTTTGCAAGCGGGGCAAACGTACACATACGCTTTTTCCTTCACAACGCCATCCTTCACAGAAAACTTGTTCCCACACAGCGTTCGATGGTCGATTTGCCCTGTCTTCACGTCACTGGCCACATTCCCTTTGCAAGCGGGGCAAACGTAAACATACGCTTTTTCCTGCACAACGCCATCCTGCACAGAAAACTGCTTCCCACACACTGTTCGATGGTCTATTTTCCCTGTCTTCACGTCACTGGCCACATTCCCTTTGCAAGCGGGGCAAACGTAAACATACGCTTTTTTCTGCACAACGCCATCCTTCACAGAAAACTGCTTCCCACACACTGTTCGATGGTTTATTTTCCCTGTCTTCACGTCACTGGCCACATTCCCTTTGCACGCGGGGCAAACGTACACATACCCTTTCGCAACGACCTGCGCGTCCCACACCTGGAAACGGTTACCGCATGCGCGCCGGTGATTTACCTGGCCCGTCCGTATACTGCTCCTCACAGACTTTTTGCAAGCGGGACAAACATATCGGAAACTCTTGCCTTTCCTCGCTGTTTTGACTTCATCTGCCAGCAACGTCACCGTCTCCGTCGCGCTGCCCTTGCTCTGCTGCTTGCAGCTCATTTCTGCCTGCCTGTCTGTGCTTCTTTCCGTTCTGCCGTCTTCTCTACGTTGCTTTGCTTGCGGCTGGGCTTCCTGCATTTGGGCGGTGTCCTTTGTTTTCCGTTTTCGTTCCACGCTGGCCCAGACATCAGTCGTCGCCCGCACCGCCCTCTGCCTTTCGTCGCTGTCTTCCCGTTGGCCATGTCCATCTTCAGGCCCGTCTGTGCTCACTTCTGTTCGGTTCTCTTGTTTGGGATGCTTTGTAAGTTGGTTTATAACCCCATCTAACTATGGTTATAACTACCATAAACTAACTTAGCTATCTTGGGGGCCCCACATTGTAGGTCCTACACAAGAACCCCATGACACCAATCCCCTCCGGCATTCCAAGTGACTGGGGCTTTTTTCAGCTAGTGAGTTGACTCTGCGAAACATGGGGCTGCGACACGAAGGTCCCATTGGTTTGCCCAATAAAACCATCATTCCTACAATGTTGGACTGGGTCAGAGTTGCATATCCATCTGATGGATGGGTCAGAAATGGGTGCCCAAGAGAATGAGAATTGAATAGTCTTTAGTTCTTGCCTCAAATTTGGACTCGTACCCACTGGTTTCTTGATTAAATCATCGTTGTGTTGGCTGTTTCAAAGCCCATTCTTGGAAAGATCAATCTTAGTTGATTAAATTCATGCTAAGATGGTATTAAATGATCCCTATAGGGATAAACTTGATTTCAACCAACACTAATATCCCTTAGTTGATCAATCTTAGGACAATGTTGGTATTAAATCATCCAAATATTGTTGTTTAATTGTCCTTACAGCATGTTGGTTGATGCTGTGAAATCTCCATAGCTGAATGGAATGTGTCTCACAGTGGAAACCGAAATAAGATGGCTTTGAAAAACTGGTTTTCAATTGTGTTTCTTACCCTCTGGTCAACGTTTACACAACTACGGAAAATCACATGTTCAATAGCTTTTTGTTTGTTTACCAGAGGGTAACCGGGCGTTGCCATGACATTCCTGACACACATTCTAAGAGGCATCACCAATGACATTCCTTCCAATGGATATACATTCACCCCCTTTCATGAGGGGAAAACCATCTTCCAACATGGAGGAAAACCCATCCAATTTCTGATTGAAATCATGGTTCATCATGGTTCATCCAAATCCATCACAGGGGATGCAGGGCCCCCGGACTGCCCCTGCGTTAGAGCGGATGAAACGTGTTTGACCTTCGAACTCCAAGGAATACCAAGCCTTGAAACAAGAGGAGATCGAGTGGTCACTCGTAAATCTAGATGTAAGGTTAACCAAATATGTCAATAACATCAAGAAATGATTACAATTATTTATCATGATATCTCTCTATGTTTTTTCGTTGTATTTCATTGTTAGATATACCGATTAACATAGAATAATAGTCTATATATAAGGATCATATATTTAGTACAAATCTATATATATATAAATATATTAGGTGTATATATATATATATACATATATATATATACACATGAGTTCGTTTATTCACAGGGTATCATGACATAGGAGGTATGCTAGGGACCGTTTTAAGAAGAATATCGTTGGAGCAGGGGCAATGCAAAGATATAATTTTATGTATTGTTATATTATGCATTGTTATATGATCTACCACCCTTCCTCAAGGTCAATTTCATAGCTTCTTATTCTTTTGTTATGTATTGGTACATTATGTATTGTTATATTATGTATTGTTATATGATCTACCACCCTTCATCATAGTCAATTGCACCAAGTGAGGTGATGTTTAGACACCAAGGATCACTCACCAGTTCACCCACGCGTATCGAGTCGTCACAGCCAGCCACCCCACGTCACCACCGTCCGGTTTTAAGGCCTGGCCTGCGACGTCTCATCGTCCACGGTCCATTGGGTCCATTGATCCGCATTAACTGGCATTTCTGTCTGTCCAGTTGCGAAAATAATGTGAACACATGATATATTATCTATCCATAACATTCAACATATTGAAAAAAAACATAATTATGAAATACTACAAGTGAGTGGAACCATCCAAGATCAATGTGTTCGACTTTGCTTCCGTCCTCAACTTGACGATAACTGTTTCTGCGGCATCGCAGCCGAAGCGATTTTATCAGTGCTTTGGAAAGGGGCCATGGTGAAAGTCACCCTTAGACATCGATGAAAAAATCGTGAAATATGGATGTGTCTCAAAATAGGGTATATTCCCAATGAAATAGCCATTTAATAGGGATAATGATCATTAACCATTGGGTTTAAGGGTACACTATTTTCAGACACACCCATATTGGTGTGTTTCCCCCAAAAAAATGATGAAAAATGAATCACATGAATCAAACGTTGCTCAAGAAACAAACCAAGGCAGATAGTTTTTTGGATTTCAGATGATTGTGCCATTGATATCAGGGATTTCCGTGTCTGTTTATTGAATGTTGTTTTCATGCATACTTTTGGTGCGCCTTTTCCTTGCGAAGACTACGTCTCACGCAAGGGAGGCAAGACACACCATCCCCAAAATATGAAAACAACATTCCATGAACAGCCACGGGTATCCCTGATATCAATACATTGCATTCATTGTACCACGATCTGTGTTTACGCTACCTAGACTTTCAAAAACTCTACAATATTTGCACGATTGGTGCGCATGTGGGCCGTTTTGACCTTTCCCCGCCGCTCCGCCCTGAAAAGGGGGTCGGCGGCACCAGGGCGTTAGCCCATTCTATATACATGTATTTGGCAAAGGTTGCAAAGGAACCATATTTAAATCCAAATATATGGTTTCACATACTTTTTGATCACAACTGACAACTGCTAGCTGATTTCATCGCCATGGCAAAGCTGTTGCCTGTGAAGCCTGTGGAAAGGCTGGAAAAGGACAAAGTCAAGCAGCTGGCAGCATTGATCAAAGGCTGCATACCTGATTGCAAACTTGAAGACTTCCCAGCAGATCCAGAGAAAGCCTGCAAAAGGCTGCAAACCTTTCTGTGTTTGTGGTACCCATCCACAAGCAGCAAGAAAGCAGATGAGAGGAAAGCTTTCTCAGAAGCCTGTGGAAGGCTGGAAACCCATGAGACAAAAGCGATTGTGAACAATCTGCATGAATACAAAGCTTGGCTGCTCAGAAAAAAAGAAATTTGAAGACTGGTGAAAGAACAGACCCAACCCTCATGGCCTTGTTCAATGCAATCCTGCAAAAGGATAACCAGGGAATCAATTTAAGCAGTAGCAGCAGCAGCATGAAGATGCCTGGAGAAGAAGAGCTTGAGAAAGCTGATGAAAAGCCTGTGAAAAGGCTAAGAAGCAAACAGCCTCTGAATGACAAAGCAGAAGACAAAACAGAGGTGCCAAAGCCTGCAAAGGCCATATGCTTTGCTTTTGACACCCCTGGAAGTCAAAAGTCCAAAAGCTGTGACATAGTGTCTGTTTCCAGTGTTTCCAGTGGTGGCTTTATGGCACCTGGAGAGTTTTCAGAAGAGCTACCTGAGCCTGCAAAGGCTGGAAAGGCAGGCGCAGCAAAGAAGCCTGCTGCTCATGTGGCTTGCAAAAGGCCAGCTGCTGCAAAGGGAGTAACAAAGAAGCCTGCAAAGGCTAGAAATAAAAGTTTGGGTAGTGTCAAAAAGCTTTGGTTTCATCCATGAAACCAAGGCTTCCCAGAAAGCATACATCAATGCAAAGCCAGAGATGGCTGACAAACCATATTGTGTAGTCAATGTTTCGCTGGCAGCAGGCCAGCTGCAAGACATGGTGATGAAGAAAGTGTTTGCAAAGGCACAGGAAGAAAATATGACAAAGGCAAGCCTGGTTCACTACAAGAATGAGCTTTTGGAAGCTGGGGACAGCTCATAAATTGCAAAGCCTGTGGGAGGCTGTCAAAGTCAAGCTGGAAACAGCTGTTGAAGCTGGGGACAGCTCTGTGTGAAGCTTGGGAAATGCTGTTTTTTTTGGGTTAAACACCAAACAGCTTGCAAAAGGCTACCAAGACCTATCAGCTTTCAAGTTTTGAAAAATGTGGCAGCTTGCTGCAGCAGCATCTGTAGAAATGTGAAGGGGGTCAGCTGGCAGTGCAGAAGTATGCAACTCTGTTGCATGGGCTCAAAACAGAACTTGTGCACTTGAGCACAAAAAGCAAAGCAACTAGGCAGATGGCACATATACAAACAAACAGTGTAGCAGAACCACAAAATAGAAAAAAAAGCACACACCACTACAAACAGAAACCGTGAGGAACATGTGCATATAGACACACACACACAGAGACACAAAAGCACGCACACACACACACACTTCCTTTCAAACCTGACTCTGTAGCTTCTGCCTCTGCACCTTGCCCACACACAAGCTGTGGAGCCACTAGTGCCATGGGAAGCCAAATGGCTTTTATGTTGCTAGCTCTTCTGCTAGTGAGTGACTCAGCCAGGAATGGCTTGGAAGCCAGCAATGGCTTTGCTGGCCTTTTCAACAGAGCCAGTGATGGCTACACGGTTTGCTTGGTGGCATCTGAGGACCTGGTCTGGGCAGTACTATTTTGTACATCCAGATGGATGGTTTGAAGAGCTGGAGCCCTGGGAGCTGGTGGCAATAGAATTTGCATTTGCCACAGAGCCAGCGATGGCTGTATATGTGGATGCTGTGTCTCATATGATGACACCAAGCCAGGAATGGCCCCCTGTTTGGAATGCTGACCTCCAGATATGGCAGACCAGCAGGGAGGAGCCAGGAAGGGGCTCTACTGTTGCCCAGCCACTGGACCTCGACAGGCTGTGGCATTCCCAACAACAGCCTGCAACAGGCTCTGCTTGGAACCAGCCTGCTGCTTGGAACCAGCCTGGAACAGGCTCTGCTTGGAACCAGCATGCTGCTTGGAACCAGCCTGGAACAGGCTCTGCTTGGAACCACCAGCCTGGAAGAGGCTATGCAAGGTCAAGTTGAGCCTGGGCAAGGCTATTGGGAGCCTGGCCAAGGCTCTTGGGGCAGCTCCAGTGGCCCTTCAAGCAGCTCCACAGGGTGCGCAGGTGGAAGGGAACCTGAGCAGCCTTGGAGGTGGAGGGCTGAGGAAGGCTGGTACCAGCCCTATGTTGGTGATAAAAAGCCAAGGCCTGACTTTGAGGCTCCAAGGTTTGGGACCAGGGGCTTTGGTTCATCCTGCAGAAGGATGGAAAGAAGGTGGTTGCACAGGAGGGGTGAAGAAACACCTGACCACCTGAAGCCTGTGAAGGCTAAAATGACCAAGGAGGTCAAAACAAAGATGAAGGAGCTCATCAAGCAAATGCGTGACATTGATGAAGCTTCATCAGAATCAGAGCTGCCTGAGGTCCCAAAGCCTGAGAAGGCTCCAGATACAGACACAGAAAGCAGCAGTTCTTTTGATTTTAGGGGAGGCGAGGGGAATGCTAAAGCCAGAGATGGCTCAAGAAAAAGGGTGTGGAAGGGAACCCCCAGCAATGCTGCAAAGCTTTCCTTAGTTCCTGAAGAGCCAGCGAAGGCTGTAGAGCCAAAAGTTGAGGAGGAGGAAGATGAAGATGAGGACATGGGGGATGGGAAGGAGGAGCCTGCAGAGGCTGGTAAAAAAAGAAAAAGAAAAAGAGAAGAAAAAGCAAAAAAAATAAAGAGAAAGATGAGTCTGAGGATCCTGGGGATGGCCCTGATGGCCCACCAGGAGGCCCAGGAGGAGCCAGTGATGGCTCAAGAGGCTCTGGCCTGGGGCCTCCCTTGGTGGCTGCAACTTGAAAAAGTTAAAGCAGCCAAAAAAAGCCTGCAAAGGCTAGGAGTGAAAGCTTGAGAAAGGCTTAGGAGTAGCCTGGGAAGGCTGAAGGTAGGCAGCTTGGAAGAGGCTCCCAGCTGCAAACACTGCAGCTCCTGGCACAGACCAGTGAGAGTTTTTGAAAAACAGAGCTGCTGCGAAGGGGAAGGGGGTGGGCTGGTTGAAGACCACAAAAAAAAATAGGTGCAGTAAGTAAGGGATAGGGAGTACCCACAAAAGCCGTTTGGATGGGGAAGGTTTCCTTTTTGGTTGCTGAGTTTTGCAGAAGCCTGCAAAGGCTTTAAAAAAAAACAAATGTGGTTTTCAGACAAAAAAGTCTGAATTTCAGACTTTCAGACTTTTTACTTTATATTTAAGTTATTAATTAAAACTATGAAAATCTGAAAGTCTGAAATTCAGACTTTTGGTTTTTTTCCTAGAAAATGAAGCTGATCACCAAAAATTCTGCAGCCCTTTGGCACAAACTAGAAAGGGTTTTAGGGATCTAGTCAGACATGAAGCGGCCTGCAGCAATGATAAAACAGGAGAAGCCAACTCCAAAAAAAAAGGCAAGAGAACAGGAGCCTGCAGAGGCTGAGTTGGGAACTGAGCCTGGAGAGGCTGAGCCTGGAGAGGCTGAGCCTGGAGAGGCTGACAGCCAGCAAGTGGCTGATCAGGAGCCTGCAAAGGCTGCACCTGCAAGTGGCTCCAAGCCTGAAAAGGCTTTGCCAGCAATGGCCACAGAGAAAGCCAAAGCTAAGGCAAAGGCCTTGGCAGCTCCTAGCAAAGCCCAATGGAATGATGTGCATTACACAATGAAGAAGCTTGAGAAAGCTGGCAAGATGGATTTGCCTGAGAAATGGAAGAAAGCTTGCTCAGGAGGTCACCAAAGCAAGCGTGAGTTTTACTACCACACATTTCTCCTAGATCCAGAGGCCAGCAAAAAAGAAGTTCATAAGAGTAGCCTGGAAAGGCTTTCGGTGGAATCAACCAAGTTGAAAGGTTGGTTCACCAAATGGCAGCTTGGGGAAATGCAAGGTGCAGTCGCCACCCACCCCATGTTTGAACAGCTCTGCACAGAAGCCTGCAAAGGCTTACCTGAAAGAGATCATGAGAATGAAGCCTGGGCAAGGCTGGGTGTGAAACAATATTACTTCGAACATTTTGAAGCTGAGAAGGAAAGGCATGCGAATGAAAGTACAACTGCGGCCAAGCAAACAGTGGAAGTCTCTGACAGGCAAGATTTCCAAAAGGCAGAGAAGGCCCTCATGGCTGAGCCAGACAATGGCCAAGTGGTTTTTGGAAAGAAAAGCCACAAGGCTGAGGCCAGTGCAGAGGAAGAAAAGCCTGAGGAGGCTTACAAAAAAGCATACCAAAGCCTGAGTAAGGCTGTGAAGGCTTTCTCAAGTGCAGTTGACAAGCTGCAGTTGCTGAAGACAAGCTTGGCAAACAAGCAGAAGGAGCAGCCCAATGCACAAGTGGCTGCCAGTGTAGGTGAAATGGAACACTTGCAAAAGCAACATGAAGACTTGAAAAGTCAGTGGGTCACCAGGCTGGCTGCAGTTGCCAGCACATTGCCTGCAGATGCAGCCAGTGATGGCTCAGAAACTGAGAAGCTTCAGCAATGGAAGCAAGAAATTGAAGAGCAAAACAAAAGCCTGGGTAAGGCTTTGAACCCACACAGATTGTGGGCCAAGAATGCAGGTTTGATTTAAACCATGTGGCCTGCACAAGTTTTGGGGAAGAATTGAAGCCTGGAAAGGCTGCTAAAAGTTTTGCACATAGTAGAAGCTTGGAAAAGGCTCGACCGAACCTGCAAAGACAGGTACATAGCAACTTGTGCCCCTGCTGGAAAAAAAAGCTGCTGCTGCTGCTGCTGCTGCTTTGCTAGGTAACTGTGTGCACATGTTCAGCAGGTCAAAGGTTTGGTGGCACTGTCAGGTGAGCTCCAAATGGCTTTTTTCTTCGCAGCCATTTTAACTTCAAGCATGAAGCTCTGGTTTGTTCTAAAAGTTTTTTTCTGCATGTGCTGGTGCACGTGTGGTGCCTGCAAAGGCAAAAGGAAAAGGGAGGAGCCTGAGGAAAGGCTTTTGTTGCAACCCCCCAGGCCCAAAAGCCAAAAACAAAGAGATGCAGAAGAAGATTTTGGAAAGGAATTAAGAAAATTGTTTGAAAAGAACAAAGTGTCTGCTCAGGATAGCTACAGGATCTTGGAAAAAGCGCAAAAGTGTGGCTTAGAATTTTCAAATCCTGTGAAGGATTCAAGCTGGAAGGCGTCCAAAGGATCAGAGCCTGAAAAGGCTAACAGCAATGCAGCTAGGACCTTGAAGAGGTTTATGACAAGGAAAAAGAATTGGAGCGACTTTTACTGGGCCCAGATCCCACTATACAATCCAAAGACAAAAGCTGTTAGCCAGGAATGGCTGCCCTTTCTGCTGCCACATGAATTTTTGTCAGATTATTTTTACCAAGAAGGGGCTGTGGAAGAGGCAATGCCTGCAGCAGGCACCTACAGGAGCCAGAGATTGGCTGAAGTTTGCAAAGCTTGGGAAAGCTCTGTGATGGTTCCACTGGGGCTTCATGGAGATGGTGTTCCCATCCAAGGCAGGATGAACCACAGCACCTTGGATTTCTTGAGCATAAACCTTCCAGCCAGCGAGTGCTTCCAAGCTCAAAGAATTCCAATGTGTTGCTTGGAGGCAAGGCACAATGCTGGGGAAGAAACATGCTTGGAAATTTGCAAAGTCATAGCATGGAGCTTGAGAAAGCTAGGGGAAGGAATTTATCCAACAGAAAGGCATGATGGGGAACCATTTCATGCAAAAAAAAATGCAGAAAGACGCAAACTGGCTGGGAAGCCAATGCCTGCAAAGGCATGTCTCTTGGAGATGTGATCTGATTGGGATTGGAACTGCAAATGGTATGGAACACCAGCCAACAATCAAAAGTGTGGCTGTTGTTGGCTTTGTTCTGCCAAACCTGACAACTGGAAGGCATTAAGTGTTGAAGAAAGAAAAGGCATGAGCCTGCAACAGGCTGATTGGTTGAGCAGCTTGGAAAACAGGGGAAAGCAAACCAATCCTCTTTTTCAGCTGCCTGGTGTGACCAATTGGTCACTTTTTCCTGATTGGATGCATGTGGCAGATGAAGGTTGTGCAGCCTTGGCAGCTGGCCAAATCCTTCATGAGCTTCTACCTTCATATGCTGCACCCAATCAGGAAGCTCGGGTAGGGCTGCTTTGGGACCATATCCAAAGCATCTATGAAGCCAGGGACTGGCCAGCAGAACAGAGGTTGCCCAAGTTAACCTTAAAAGACATAAAGAAGCCTGGGAAGGCTGCTGAGCTAGATGTCAAAGCAGCTCAATGCAGACATTTTGTGCCAGTGGTGGCAATCCTCACTGAGGAAAAGGGTTTCAAAATTGGAAGCCCAAGACAAAAGGCAATCCACAATGTTGCAAGATATTGTGCAAAGATGTATGCTGCCTTGGAAGCTGGAGACAGCATGGCCATAGCCAGCAATGGCCATAAATTTGTTAGCCAATACCTGGCTCTAGAAGAGCATGCTGTAACTTGGGACCCTGATGACACCAAAACTTGGAGAGCAAGACCCAAGTTCCACTTGCTGCAGCACATTCTGGATGAAGCCTGCAAAGGCTTGCACCCTAAAGATGTATGGAACTATCGAGATGAAACATTTGGGTATACAATGCAGCAGCTATGGTTCAGAAGAGGTGGCAAAACCAAGAGCCCCAAAGTCGAAAGTGAATCAGTTTTGCTAAGATGGGCAAACAGCACAGAGACCTGGAGCTTGCAAAAGGCTATGGAAGCAAAGCTTGAAAAAGCTGATATGGAAGCCTGAGAGAGGCTTAATGTATCAGAGCCAATGGGCTTCAAGACTTTCATGAATGCCAGAAAAAGAAGCTGCTGCTGTGTGCAACATGGTGAACATATGTAATACATGACCACTGTTAAAATCTAAAGAAAACATTGCCTGGAGAAGCTCTAAATTAGAGCTTCTAGAAGCTCTAATCTAGAGCTTCTAGAGAGGATTTATCATTGCTCTAGAAGCTCTAAATTAGAGCTCCTAGTGATTTTTGCTAGAAGCTCGAATTTAGCGCTGCCAGCGCTAAATTTGAGCTTCTCATTTTTGAGCTTCTAGAAAAGAGCTTCTAGGAAGATTAGGGGCACTGCTTGCCGTGTTGTTGCAAGGTCGTCGTCATGCAGCTGCCCGATATGATTGGTGTGATTTGAAATGACCGCTATGGCCTTCCAATGCAGTCATCGAATGGGCCTTGATTCGTTTCAAAAACCAAGCGCGTGTGACCTCGGGAAGATGCAAATCGGCACTGTGTATGTGCTCAAAAAAGGAAAAGAGAAGTGACGTTAAATGGGTGTTTGTTTCCGGTGCTGGCAGCATTCAACTTGAATTGTGTTCGATCAATGGGCTTGAAACAACAGCAGTTTGTTTTTGACAGCGCATGAACTCTCATGTTGCTAAAGTCACAACTTGGACAAACGTAGTGAATCTCAATTCGGGGTTCTTTGAAGTTTCTGTGCATCAATATATTCCGTCTCCAGGCAGGGGGGATGAATTCGCCGGACAATGCAGGGAACAAATGGTTTATTCTCTTTTTGATCCCCCGCCCTGTCCGGAGATGAACCCCTCTTGTCTGGAGCTAGGGGTGCGGAAAAACATGTTTCCTGTTTATGTGGCTTTTGAAACCCCTTCCTATACGTCTCCCCTTTGTAGGAAGCCGCTCCGCGGGGTTCTTCCCCAGTCCCGCTGTGCGTTTGGATTTTCGGTTCCAATTTGCATCTAGAGGAGGAGAATCTACGCTACACTTATTCTCGCCGGTTGTATCAAATATTTCAACCACTTGCTCGCTTGATTTTGGCAATTCCTGCGCATTACGTCCATTGTATTTCGCGAGATCTGTGTGTGTGAACTGGTTTTAGATGAAGAAACACGTTGGACATGTGCTTGCACAGGGTATGACGCATTATCAGCATGTGAGCCCTTTTTTTCAGAAAACAATGGGTGAACCAGATTCCTTTTGAATGCAGTACTACATTACATAACCTGCGCTGTTGACGATGTAGATGCTATATGCCCAAATTTTCAAGATGAAACTGGGACTACATGTTGTATATTTACATGACTTCCTAGAAACCTTTCCAGGTTCAACATGCGACCATGCATCTAGCGTGCAAAGTTGTAGTGCTTGACATTGATATCATTGATTTTTTAGCCGGTGCAAAATTCAAACAAATTGAACACAAGGAGAACGCAAAAACGATGGGGTCCTTGCAAGTTATGGCATTCAAGTTCATCAACCTTTGGTGTGAAAGGCTCGACCGTGTATTTGAGCATGTCTGGCTTGAGAGTTCTTGACGTAGCACCTCTGCCCAAGCTTCACCTATGAAATATCACCTTGTCATGGGTCAGCATGCGGTGCCTATACAAAAAATACGTTTATTACCGGAGTAGATTTTCATAATTAGAGCTGGGCTTGGGGAAGAATATCTGAGTAGAACAGCGCAATACTCATTTTGAAGCAAAATCCCAACCATATTCAATAGCGCGCCCGTTTGGTGACCTTGGCCGTGGTACTTTTCTTAGGCAAAATAACATGTATATAAACCTATCACTTTGTTGATTGGTGCTCCCAACCCGTCACCTGTTTCGCAAAAGGTGCAGAAAGCGAAATTGTTTTGGGGCACATGAAGAAGGTGACTAAGCTGATCTCTCTTTATTGCAAGTACTTGCCAGTGATTCACGGGCTGGCGATGATTCCTTACACCCGGCTCTTGGCCCAAATGAGTTAACAGGGTGCTAATGCACCGAAGCTGTATCGAAAACACTGTGCCAGACATCCTGTTAAGAATCTAACCATTGTTCACCACTCAGTGTGCCAAACATCAGTTCACGTAGACGATTCATATCAGCAGTGTTCAAGATCCATCTGATTGCAATATACTGGTTTGTTGATCAGAGCTCCGAAAGGCGAGCAAAATCAATCACCAACAGCGGGTTTTGAACATCGCTGATTATGACATTGATAGCATCTAGATTGCTGCGCAGGTTTCAAAAATCGCCAGGGTGCCATGCATGCTGGGCCCATGGTATTTCACAACGTGCGTGTTTGCAAAGGGGAGGTGAAGATAAAGGAGATACAGGACCTGTGATTGACACGTGCAAAAACTGGAATTGATATACAATGATATACATGTGGAACATGTTGTCAAGTCCATGCATTTTATGTAAAAAATGGTGATCGAAAAAAAATGTCATGTAGGATTGGAGCGGGACAGAACAGATTCAGGTTGCTGTAGCTGCTCATTGTCAGTATGCAAGCCTAGGTACTATGTCCTCACAAATTCGATGAAGACAAGGTGTCAATGGGTAAGAACTTGTTCCAAACTAAATGCGTTTAGAAGGGATCTAACGTGTCACAAAAACCTATATAGCGCATAACTTACTTGAAATTCAGCTGGCGCATAGCTCAAGCAAACCCAAGGGCAGTTTGGCGGTGAACGTGCAGAAGTTTGTGCACACCTTTCTTTGCATTCAATTTCGCCAACCTTTGGCGTTAAAGGCTGTTCTGTGCACTGAAGCCTGTCTGACTTGAGAGTATCTGACTTGTATAGGCATTGTCTGCTGACATGCTTTAGTAAAAAGAATCGTTGTCTGAATGTCAGGGATGCAACAACATATGCAAAGTGAGTGTACAAAACCCAGTTGTAAAGTGCAAAGCATGCAAGCCAAAAGCCCAATACAAAATAATCAATACTCCAGGACCCACAAAAGCAAACAACGTATATATATATATATATAGTATAATATATATACTAGTCATCATGCAGAGAAAACACGTTAACAAACACACACGCACACACACCCAAAGATAGCATCACACTCTGCCAAGATGGAGGGCTAACAGTGATTGAGCATGATGGGGCAGGCAGGTTGCCCCTTGTTGTTGTTATCGCCGTTGCTTCGCCATTGCTTCGCCGCCATTGGCGTCGTCGTCGTCGCCGCACCGCCGCCATGTTGTCATTACGTCATCGCCATGTCGTCGCAATGTCGTCGCCATGTCGTCGCCATGTCGTCGCCATGTCGTCGCAATGTCGTCGCCATGCTGTGGCCATGCCGTCGCCCTTTAATTGCCTTGCCGTTGGCGTGCCGATACATTGCTGTCGTCATTTGGTTGTCCTGCCGTCGACTCATTGCCAGTGCCTGTTGCCTTCGTTTTGAGGGGCCAGACTAACAGAGGCCTATAGGCTGTAGCTAATTCAAAACTCAATATAATTCCACAGAAATCCACAGATGTTTTTCTTCAAGACATTTCAAGACCATTTGCTTGGGGATGGAAAATCCAACACAGGATCCACCAGGATCCACCGGGATCGGTTCCGGGTCACTGCTGTTGGATGAAGTTCCGAAAGACGTCAGCCTTTGGCTCCGATTGCCCAAAGCCTTGCTCTGTTGGATTGATGCAGTAGAGCTCAGCATCTTGGCAAATGCCTCGCAGGGATCACCCACAGGTGGGATAATACTGCATAAGGGTGATCACGCCAGAGCTATGAAAGGTTTGAGATTACAATAGATTACAGACGATTAGAGTAAAACAGTGTAAATATAGGGCCTAAATAGGGGCCTAGAAACAAAAAGGGGAAGGCTATACAGGTCAATGTCACACCCTTCACGGTTTTACCCCTGTGCCCTCTGCCACAGAGTATGCTAGTGTCCCTGCGGCCACGCTGCTACAAGCGTCGAGTTGAAGCAAAATTCGTGGTACATTCGTCAGCTGCCGCAGCTTCGACAAGGTGGTGCTGATAGAGAAGTCCATCCAGCTCGGGAGGCTCGAGCACTTGCCTGGCACATCAAGTCATTGCACTCCAGGTGGATGATTTCATCGGTGACTTCTTGTAACGTCTTGAAGCCAAGACTAGCTGAGAAAAATCATGAAAAATCAATTAAAAAGCCACAAGGCTCCTGGGAGCGGTATGGAGCGGTCCTCCAATGTAAGTCGCTAGTTAGGCTTTACTTTCTCAACACCGGTCAATCTCGACACACCCTGATACAAGTAGGATCTTAGAAGCGATCTGACATATTTGGGGAGGAAAATATGTGCACAGCTGATAAGAACAATTGATGCATGTGCCCTGGCATCCAGCCGTACACATGCCAAGGTCGGAAGAAGAACATAGATGAGCTACTGCTAAACTAATTAGTGAAAAACATAGAAATTGGAATACCTCTCAACACTGCAAGAAGTATAGAGTTCAACCATTCAAGGCCACCAAACAAGTCAGTTCCAAGAGGAGTAGTTCTAACTTGTTGTGTCAATTAAAGAGCGTATCTGAAATCCGATTGAAATATTTTTTTGAAAGCAGGTCATCCAATCTCTTTACAGAGCCTAAACGATATCTGCCTTTACCGTGTACATCCGAAAAACAATGAAAAACCACACTTCCGCAATCTTCCTTTAAAGTTTAAAATCTGCGAGGCCAAACTCTAGAGATCTCTACAGTACGTTTTTCTCAGACATTCTCAGATTATTTCAGTCGTGGACAAGAAGTAAGGGGGAGGCCTGGGGCATCAAGCGTTACACTAGCAGGTCGGTCGAAAGGAACTTTAAAACAGAAAAGGACAGCAGCATGCAGATGCAACTTCTGAGACAAGGCACTCGCAGAGTCAAAGAAAAGACTTGTGATCTTCACCGAGGATGGCTCTGGATACATTCCTGCAGCCTCGTTGATGGCAGTTAAAACTGCATTTGCCCAACCTCCAACGTTGACCACGCGAAAATTTCTCATGCCTTTCTTGAACAGGCTCCGCACGGCCCGCTTCACTGAAGCCTCATCACTGAAGCCATCGAAACCAAAGACGTTGACGCCCATGGCGCTGCAGTTACCGTTGGAGCTGCACAGTGGCTCACAAGGTCGTGCGCAATTGTCGTTGATGTCTTCCTGCCAAAGAAATTCCTGAACCTCTTCAAAAGAGCTTGATGTTGTGAGGCCATTGTACCACTCCTCATTTCCACCCAAATCATGGGGAGTTGTTCTTGAAAGCAAACAGCAGGCTTTTAAAAAATGTATAATGCATATTTCATTGGACATGTTTTTGGAGAGGGCATTGCTAGAAACACAATGAAATGGACAAACACCTTTCCAAGCTTGAGCATCTGGATGTTGAGGTATTCCTGTATGCAGTGCCCACTTGACGTCTTCGTAGCATTTTTCACCACGTACTGCTGTGCGGCATCCTGGACAGGCCGGAGCTTCACAGACACCTGCCAAGGTCCGTTCCTTGAAGAAAAAATTCTGAAAATCTTCAAACGAAGACTCAGTCGTCAAGTCCCCGTACCATTCCTGGATTGAGCAATCTCTAAAGCGGAATGCGCTTCCCAACAAACATCTGGAAGGGCTAATGCACACACACACACTGGGATACACCCCGTGGGGGAGAAAATGAAATCAAATGAAATGAATCGTCACATGTGGCCATCATGTATGCAACATGACTCGCTAACTACCCTAGAAAACGCATGACATGATATGACAAACGGCAAACGGCGAGCCGGTTCTTGGGTTAGCCGGATCCCATACAAAGCGCAGGTGCAGGTTCATGCGTCCATGAACCCTTCCACCACATCTTCCATAGCTTCGTTGGGCAACATAGGAAGATGGGCTGTTGCCCCCCTGCTTACACCCTTTGGTTCAGGGTTTCCCACACACAACAAGCCGCTAGGGCACGATTTTCCATACGAGAAAAACTGTCCTCAATGTAGTTGCTTCCAACTAAACTAGTTATGGCATAACCACCCCTCAGTGCTGTTGGCCTCATGTCATAAAGTTGAAACAAGTACCAATCAGCGGGTGCGCCGAAGCATCTGGGACGCCTTGGCTCGTAGTGGTTGTTCGGGATATCCTGCCGGGTCGCATCTGAAAAAGCGGCGTTCAATCACAACTGACGTTGATGCTAAAAATCTAGAATGAATCGCAACTGATGTGCATGCCAGTATGAATCATGGGATGACACGGGGAGTTCTGAGATGAAAAATCTGTAATTCTGGCTAATTCTGAACATGCAACCTGGCAAATTCTGAGAAATTCTGCTTCTGCTGGAGAACTCTGGATGCTTGTACGAACTCTGGATGCTTGTGCGAACTTTGCTTCTGGCAACATGATGTCTGGTAAATTTTGAAATAATCGGGTATCCCCGGTGGACGCACCACCAAGCTTCCCCGGCACTTTATCAGAGATAAGGGTGCATGAATAGACACACTTGGATACACCCCGAAGGGAGAAGATGAAATGAGATTAAATGGATCGTCACATGTGGCCATCATGTATGCAACATGACTCGCTAACTACCCTAGAAAACGCGTGACATGATATGACAAACGGCAAACGGCGAGCCGGTTCTTGGGTTAGCCGGATCCCATACAAAGCGCAGGTGCAGGTTCATGCGTCCATGAACCCTTCCACCACATCTTCCATAGCTTCGTTGGGCAACATAGGAAGATGGGCTGTTGCCCCCTGCTTACACCCTTTGATTCAGGGTTTCCCACACTCGCACAAACACACACACACACGGCGAAATAATGGTAAAGTGGATTGTTCTTTGTCTAAACTTCGGACCAAGAAATCAAAATTGGCTGGCCAAAGTTTCGAAATTGAACATCATTGAACCAAGATTCAGGGTTCGCAACGATACCAGTTGTCATCGCCCATTGGACAGCATCATAGCAATCTTCACCAACCTGACATTTGACATGGACAAACTATTGCCTGTCATAGACCATGGACCGATTCTTTTCTTATATCTCATTGAACTATCGTAAAGATTTGCAAATTCTTACCTGGGGAAGGACAACGGACGGACATAGGTAGTCTTCCATTTGAAATGACGAGAAATCAACATAAATCAACATGAACTTCAGCTTTGAAACGGACATGGCTGATCGCGAACTCCAAGGCTCGTGGCCTCTGATCTTCAATCACACTTGCACCTTGTATTGAAAACTGATGCCTAGGAGAGCTTCAAAAACATGGTGGCAGGTGGACTATGTTGGAAAAAAATGAAAGACTTTTTCATGCTGATTCCACAGGCCTGCGAAGGCCCTCGAAGGCCTTGAAGGCTATTTGCAACACAAAACCATTTTGATACTTGAATCCATCGCACAGCATCCCTTCTGCCGCTCCCCTGCCTGCGAAGTTCGACAAGGAGGCAGTGTGGTAGTTTGCGGAGCTATTGATGGTGGAGCAACCAAGTGTGGACCAGTGAAAGAAGCGTACAACTCTCCCAGAGCGGACAAGGTGCCATTACCTGACAGCCACTGAATTTGACATATTGACTGCTTACATGTACTTCGTCCGAAATGATGTTCCATGCTTGCTTTTCTGTCGGTGGCTGCAAATACAGTCTGCAAGAGGATGCAAAAGGTAGAGCTCACATGACACATGTCTTTGTCAACTATTCACATTTGAGCGGCCACAACATGGAAAGCAGAGAACTGCTATCGGACACAAGCTCTGTGTTTTCCATGACCAAGACAAATAGTCCGGCACATGGATTCTGTTGACTTGGAAAAATGAACAGTTCTGCCGCATGGAAAAAGCTATGGCGGCTGTGAAACTGTCTATTGAATGTACATCATTGTGTCTTCTGGTACATCAAACTGTGCAACCATTTCGGAGCAATCACCGCCTTCAAAGAGATATGATATGCTACAAAGGGAATGTTTACTAACCCGTCGCTCGACAAAAGCCATGGTGCTGTAAACGAGCCCAGCATCTCCATTTTTGCCGTCGACAATGGGGAATGCCCAATCATCCTCAAACATGCTGAACCTCGGAAGTCGCGTGTGAATGTGTGTCCTCTCTAACTACAGTAGATGGACAACATATTCAAACTCTGCAGCACGCACTATGTTGAACCCCCGCACCCCAAAATCTCAATGTTTCAGCGCGCGTGTTAGCAAAAGTGATGTTACGGGTTTGATTTTTTTCGTACACTGGGGCTAATGCACTTCAGGTTACAATAACATTGAACTTTGGGGGTGAGGGGGTTGTACCGGATAGAAGGGGTTTGAATATTTCGTACATCTACGGTAGTTCCACACTTTAGGAGGCAAGCCAAGCGGCAAACAATGAAATTGTAATTAATTGTATATATAGATACAAATGGAAGAATATGATGCTTCTGAATGAATACCTGCTTGACTAGATTGGAGGCACAACAACCTTCATCGCAGTCACGGCCCTATAGATGAAGATATGTTAATACCTTCCAGCAACATTTTGCAACGCTTCGGGGAACTTTTTCGCATCTTAATCATCTTATACTATCACTCGGATCTACTTCAAATAAGAGTGTCGGTATCAGTCGATAGAAGAATTTGTAGGTTCACAAATCCCGAGCGATTCCCTGGCTTTTAAGTGAGTCCTTGTCTGAAGGACCTCAAATGCAAAATAAGATCCTGGCATACTCTGGAGCTACTGAGTCCTGACTTATAAATTCCAGTTCGCCTAGCACTACATTCACTACATCTCACCTACATAGCAGCAACCCTAATGAGTTCAAACCCAATGCGTGTCCCTCAAAAGCTTCCTTGGCGCATTGCCAGGTGGCCATGAATACATCTCAATTGACTCATCTCGTTCCAGCAATGGTATCGCTTCCCGCATATAAGCCATCTGGCCTTCAGCTGGCAATCGCTCCAATGAGCTGGCTTCACAGCAAGCAAACTCCGTCAGCCACAATGGGCGCCTTAGCACAGGTGTCACGCAGTCTAGTCTGCATCAACAAATACAGAGTTCCAAATCTACAGTTGTCACTCACTGCGGCTCTGACTTTCGGTTCCAAACCTACCAAAACAAGACTCATAGTGCCTTGCGTTGCCTGATTGTGCCGGCTATACCAAAACCGAAGTCAAGTCAGGGAGTTTCATGCCGATTGTTCGATGGGAATCAGTTGCCGGTAGAACCAATTGATGAGATTGTAATCCCCAGGAATGAATCAGTGTGCTTTGTGAGTACGGCAACAAAGGCCATGGTCTCTGTCGCATTCCAAGCCTGCCAGGCTTGCAAGTCTATGGGATGTTTGGCCACACACATCCCAAAGATATCGCGTAGGCTCTTCCCACTTCAGACATGCTTGTCCCGTTGTGGTTCCATAGTTCCCCATTTCTCGCAAATTCCTTCAAACACGGACAAGAACGTCATGGTTAGTGTTCCTTGTCCCACCGCAGACAGAGTAACTGAAAGATCTTGTACATCTCGATGTGATCTTTGAGATATCTGCCAAAGCAGGTGTATGTATGAAATGCCACGGCGTCAACCTGCGCAAAGAAGTCATGGAGCCAGGTTCAAAGGTTTCGCAGGAAACAGCCCCCAGCGCTGGACAAAAGCGTCCTCAACAGTCCTCAAAGAATGCCTCTCCGCTCCGCTAAGAATTGATAAGAATTGGATAGCCAGGCTTAGCCAGGTAGGAATGATGAGATCATGGCATTTGAGGCACAAAACATGGGGGCATCACAGAGACAGCGTTTTAACCGTTACTATTTTTGGGATTTTAACCGTTACTGGCTTTGGTTCTTAACCATGACTGTTGGGTGCCTTAACCATGACTGTTGGGGTGCCTTAACCCCGACTATGGGGTTTTTCCATCCGTCCCAACCAGTGCTTCTTTTTTTGTCCACTCGTCCGTTGTAGCCATCTCTGCCAGGTCCTGGAAAGGACTCGGTTTTTGGAGGTTTTGGGCGCAAAAAGGTTAAAAAACCAGGTTCTTTTTGGGGCCTAGATTGAGGAAGTAGAGGTTTTTTTCGTATGGAAGGAAAACACAATGGACAAGCTAATGCATTGAGCTAGGCAATGGCGGAAGTGTCTCAACTAACACAACTCATCCCACACAAACTCATCTCACACAAACTCATCTCACACAACTCATCTCACACACAAACTCATCTCACACATCTCACTCATCTCACTGACTCATCTCAACACACTCAACTCAACTCAACTCATCTCACACAAACTCATCTCACACAACTCATCTCCAGAATCATCTCACACAAACTCAGCTCACACAACTCATCTCACACAACTCATCTCACACAAACTCATCTCACACCTCACTCATCTCTCACACAACTCATCTCACACAAATCATCTCACACAAACTCAGCTCACACAACTCATCTCACACAACTCATCTCACACAAACTCATCTCACACATCAACCCACTCAACTCACCTGACTCAACTCATTTCACACACCTCAACCCACTCAACTCATCTCACACAAATCATCTCACACCAACTCAGCTCACAGGAACTCATCTCACACAAATCATCTCACACCTCAACCCACTCAACTCATCTCAAACAACTCATCTCACACATACTCATCTCACACCTCAACCCACTCAACTCACCTGACTCAACTCATTTCACACACCTCAACCCACTCAACTCATCTCACACAAATCATCTCACACCAACTCAGCTCACAGGAACTCATTTCACACAACTCATCTCACACCTCAACCCACCAACTCATCTCAAACAACTCATCTCACACATACTCATCTCACACCTCAACCCACTCAACTCATCTGACTCAACTCATCTCACACACCTCAACCCACTCAACTCATCTCACACAACTCATCTCACACAAACTCATCTCACACAACTCATCTCACACAAATCATCTCACACAACTCATCTCACACAAACTCATCTCACACAACTCATCTCACACAAATCATCTCACACCTCATCTCACACAAATCATCTCACACCTCATCTCACACCACTCAACTCATCTCACACACAACTCATCTCACACAACTCATCTCACACAACTCATCTCACACATACTCATCTCACACAACTCATCCCACACAAACTCATCTCACACAAACTCATCTCACACAACTCATCTCACACAAACTCATCTCACACATCTCAACCCACTCAACTCATCTGACTCAACTCATCTCACACACCTCAACCGACTCAACTCATCTCACACAACTCATCTCACACAAACTCATCTCACACAACTCATCTCACACAAATCATCTCACACAAACTCAGCTCACACAACTCATCTCACACAACTCATCTCACACAAACTCATCTCACACCTCAACCCACTCAACTCACCTGACTCAACTCATTTCACACATCTCAACCCACTCAACTCATCTCACACAAATCATCTCACACCAACTCAGCTCACAGGAACTCATTTCACACAACTCATCTCACACATACTCATCTCACACCCCAACCCACTCAACTCATCTGACTCAACTCATCTCACACACCTCAACCCACTTAACTCATCTCACACAACTCATCTCCCACAAACTCAGCTCACACAACTCATCTCACACATACTCATCTCACACCTCAACCCACTCAACTCATCTGACTCAACTCATCTCACACATCTCAACCCACTCAACTCATCTGACTCAACTCATCTCACACAAACTCATCTCACACAACTCATCTCACACAAATCATCTCACACAAATCATCTCACACAAACTCAGCTCACACAACTCATCTCACACAACTCATCTCACACCTCAACCCACTCAACTCATCTCACACAACTCATCTCACACAACTCATCTCACACAACTCATCTCACACATACTCATCTCACACAACTCATCTCACACATACTCATCTCACACAAACTCAGCTCACACAACTCATCTCACACAACTCATCTCACACAAACTCATCTCACACATCAACCCACTCAACTCACCTGACTCAACTCATTTCACACACCTCAACCCACTCAACTCATCTCACACAAATCATCTCACACCAACTCATCTCACAGGAACTCATCTCACACAAACCATCTCACACCTCAACCCACTCAACTCATCTCAAACAACTCATCTCACACATACTCATCTCACACCTCAACCCACTCAACTCACCTGACTCAACTCATTTCACACCCCTCAACCCACTCAACTCATCTCACACAAATCATCTCACACCAACTCAGCTCACAGGAACTCATTTCACACAACTCATCTCACACCTCAACCCACTCAACTCATCTCAAACAACTCATCTCACACATACTCATCTCACACCTCAACCCACTCAACTCATCTGACTCAACTCATCTCACACACTTCAACCCACACAACTCATCTCACACAACTCATCTCCCACAAACTCAGCTCACACAACTCATCTCACACATATCTCATCTCACTCATCTCACACCTCAACCCACTCAACCCATCACACACAACTCATCACACAAACATCTCACACACAACCTCACCCACTCAATCTCACACAACTCATCTCACAACTCATCTCACACATACTCATCTCACACAAACATCTCACACAACTCATCACACAAATCATCTCAACATCAACACTCTCACACAACTCATCTCACACAACTCATCTCACACAACTCATCTCATCTCACACCTCAACCCACTCAACTCAGCTCACACAACTGACTCAACTCATTTCACACACCTCAACCCACTCAACTCATCTCACACAACTCATCTCACACAAACTCAGCTCACACAACTCATCTCACACAAATCATCTCACACAAACTCAGCTCACACAACTCATCTCACACAAATCATCTCACACAAACTCAGCTCACACAAATCTCACACAACTCATCTCACACAAACTCATCTCACACCTCAACCCACTCAACTCACCTGACTCAACTCATTTCACACACCTCAACCCACTCAACTCATCTCACACAAATCATCTCACACCAACTCAGCTCACAGGAACTCATTTCACACAACTCATCTCACACATACTCATCTCACACCTCAACCCACTCAACTCATCTGACTCAACTCATCTCACACACCTCAACCCACACAACTCATCTCACACAACTCATCTCCCACAAACTCAGCTCACACAACTCATCTCACACATACTCATCTCACACCTCAACCCACTCAACTCATCTGACTCAACTCATCTCACACATCAACCCACTCAACTCATCTCACACAACTCATCTCACACAACTCATCTCACACATACTCATCTCACACAACTCATCTCACACATCATCTCATCTCACACAAACTCAGCTCACACAACTCATCTCACACAACTCATCTCACACAAACTCATCTCACACATCAACCCACTCAACTCACCTGACTCAACTCATTTCACACACCTCAACCCACTCAACTCATCTCACACAAATCATCTCACACCAACTCATCTCACAGGAACTCATCTCACACAAACCATCTCACACCTCAACCCACTCAACTCATCTCAAACAACTCATCTCACACATGCTCATCTCACACCTCAACCCACTCAACTCACCTGACTCAACTCATTTCACACACCTCAACCCACTCAACTCACCTCACACAAATCATCTCACACCAACTCAGCTCACAGGAACTCATTTCACACAACTCATCTCACACCTCAACCCACTCAACTCATCTCAAACAACTCATCTCACACATACTCATCTCACACCTCAACCCACTCAACTCATCTGACTCAACTCATCTCACACAAATCATCTCACACCAACTCAGCTCACAGGAACTCATCTCCCACAAACTCATCTCACACAACTCATCTCACACATACTCATCTCACACCTCTACCCACTCAACTCATCTGACTCAACTCATCTCACACACCTCAACCCACTCAACTCATCTCACACAACTCATCTCACACAAACTCATCTCACACAACTCATCTCACACAAATCATCTCACACAAACTCATCTCACACAAACTCATCTCACACAACTCATCTCACACAAATCATCTCACACCTCAACCCACTCAACTCATCTCACACAACTCATCTCACACAACTCATCTCACACAACTCATCTCACACATACTCATCTCACACAACTCATCTCACACAAATCATCTCACACAAACTCAGCTCACACAACTCATCTCACACAACTCATCTCATACATACTCATCTCACACCTCTACCCACCCAACTCATCTGACTCAACTCATCTCACACACCTCAACCCACTCAACTCATCTCACACAACTCATCTCACACAAACTCATCTCACACAACTCATCTCACACAACTCATCTCACACAAATCATCTCACACAAACTCACCTCACACAACTCATCTCACACAAATCATCTCACACAAATCATCTCACACCTCAACCCACTCAACTCATCTCACACAACTCATCTCACACAACTCATCTCACACAACTCATCTCACACAACTCATCTCACACAAACTCATCTCACACAACTCATCTCACACCAACTCAG